AAGATACCCCCTAGAACATCTGTGGGGGTTCCGGGGAAGCTTCCCGTGAGAAGTTCCGACCCCTACTCGACTGTGGCCTCAAGCCCTCCGGGGTCCTTTGCTTCAGAGATCCGTTCTCGGGAGTGCTGCCGCGGACCGAATCGAGTACGTCGAATCCATCCGTCCACGAAAAATGACGGCCGTGTCGTAATTACACTCATTCGGAAGGTCCGTTTTCCGTAGATTCTTCCCCGAGGGCGATGCGTCGACGGTGAAGATCGGAAACTCGTGCTTGGGTCGGACGGTCGAGCCGAAAATTCAAATTTGTGATCTACGGGCGAGACGGACTCCATCGATAATTCAAGCTGTTCCCTTCGCGGCTCACATGACCCGGACGAAGAGTTAGCGGAGTCAATTTTCAGTATGAATGCACCACTGTATGAGCGACTCGAGCTCGATTGAATGGTTATTGCTCGAGTTTCGGTCAACCTTCTGTCGCTTTTCTTCCCTCGATATTTTTGTCTCTCTCTCTCTTCCCCTGTCGTTAGCTTGTTAGGTCCCTATGGTGTCGTGATCGTTGACGCGTGTAAGTGGCGCTTCGAGTGCTAGCGGCGGCGGCGGCTCCGGCGTTCGTTCACTGGCCGCTCGGCTAGTCGCTTCGGCTTTGTCTATGATCTCAACACTCGGAGAGGCATGGTGGCACAAAGCGATGCAAATCCCTCCGTGATAGTCGTAACACTCTCAGTGGCTCTTTCTCAGCTTCCTTCTTTCTCAGCAACAGTCAGTCGGCGGCTGCTGCTGTCATCGTCGTCTTCAGCGGAACCGCTATCCGGTATCACATATACTGGGCGGCGGGTCAAAGACGCGCAGACAGACACCCCATTGGAAATCACTGATGCATAGATTATTAGCGACAAGCGTCCGAAGCAGAGCTCGGAGAGAGAACAACCAGTTTGTTGATTGGCAACTGAGTTATGCTGGAATCTGTCAGCGCTCCAACATTCATAGAGCTCTGTGGGAATAATGTACTTGAGCCGAGACAACGATACCGCGACATGGGCGAAAAGAGCTGAAGCTCAGGGTAATTCGACCTCCTCCAGTCGCGAGCGTGCGAGAGTCATTCAGAAGCGGCCTGACGGCGGGGACCCGAGACGACTTCGGACTCGGATGAGATCAGAAAGTCCGGCGGAGAAATTAATTTCACGCATTCATCCAGTTCTGAACTCGGACTCGTAGGAAATCTTTAGTGCGCGGGGGGCGGGTAGGGGACTTCCGGAGTTCTCCCGGCTGGCCCTTGCTCATTCTATTTCTACGTGTTCTCATTCACAAGCGCGCGGGTGCGACTCGCAAAGCCCCCTAAGTAAGACAAAATCTGGAGTTCTTCGAGCAGAGTCGTAAAGTTTATGCCTGTTATGGAGTTCTGGGTATCTGGCCGACCGGAGCTGCGAGAGTTGTCGGTTCGCAAGCCGACTTTCAACTAAGCACAATTATGTCAAGGAGAAATCAATCAGACAACCTTAGGTGTTTGGTGCTTGGCTCTAGCAATTTCGTGCTTGGCCGAGCGAGTGAATACGGGCCAGAGAAATAGAGTGAGAGTCCGCGAGTCGACGAGTCAAGTCGTGGTCGTCCCATGCGCGGTGGCGGCGGCGCGGCGGCAGCAGCCGCGGTTCAGAACAGTCACTGGTCGACGAGGTGCTCGAGATTTCACGCTCTCAACGAGCTTCAGTTGCAAGCAGAAGCAGCCAAACAAGCATGCATGCTTGCATGCAGCCAGCCAGCTAGTCAGTCAGTTGAGTTTGATACTGATGGGAACGAACAGCTCTTCGATGATTCGATGCGGCAAGCAGATGGCTTCTGTCGACGACGGCGATCCCGATGAAAGCGACGACGAGGACAGCAGCAATGACAAGGACTGTGCTTTTTGCAATGAGTTCCCGCGATTCTATCCGTATTATCTCCATCCCATTCGGCATGCGCTAAAGGGAAGCGCGAAGGCAGCGCGAGAACAGCAGTATCACCCTCTTTCGGGCTAGCCGAGAACGCCCGTCCGGCTGGACCCGATGCTACCGACCTCACTCGATCTTTTGGTCAATTTGTGCAATCCCATCGGAAGCACTGTGCGATGATTTCTCGAACTTATCACTTATTTCATGTCAATAACTGAGCGACGCGACGGTGCCGCTGCGGCCACTCCACATCCCCACGATTGATGCCGATGCAAGAAGGACGATGCACCCCGGACGAAGGAGTTGAATAGGATGCCCATTCAACGTTAGGCATCGACCGGCGTCTGTCCTTAATGACTTAGTTAAGGTGGTCCCGAAAGAGTTCTTTCAAGTGTCGTCCGCAGTTGTCGGAGCTTCTTTGTGGGGAAACGAGCGGTATGGAGATGCAGCCGTCAGATTCTCCTCTCAAAAAAGCTTCCGACCGAGCTTACGCTAAAGTTGAACTCGAAGAAATTGGGACATCTCCCTAATCAAGATAGGGTAGTGTTGGCGTTTCAGTCGTCATCGCCGCGCTCGGACGGAGCAGCGGCTTTTCATTAAAAGTCCGGGAAATTCAATTGTCCTCTCGCTGAGATTGTCAGCAGTCGGTTGTTGGGCTGCTTATTCAATAAATGTTTTTTTTTTCTCTTCGCGGCTCTCTCTCTCTCGACTCTTGGCGGGATTGAGCGTCGTTTTATTTACGATACGCTATTTTTCTCTCTCTGAACAAGATGCGCCAAGATTCGATATTGGCTGCCGCATCCACTCCTCGCTCGTTCTCCTGATCGAATTATCACACGACGGGAATGGGAAGGGGCTGCTCTCCTTTTTGCGGAGGCGATTAATTTGCTCGCTTTCCTCTGTCCCCCCACTCACATCCGCCCTAAAGTCGGTTGTGTTCTCGGTCGGCACTTAGCTGATGAAAACTTTTCACCGGACACTCCCTTAGTCTTCTAGCAATCCTGGTCCGTTATTCCTCGTTCTGCCGTTCGGACGACCGGCCGGCCGGGCCGGGCGGTCGCTGGCTCTGTCCGTTTGTCGAAGTCGAGTCTCGTCCTGCCTGTCCCTTCCGATTAAGAAACGCGATCTTTCACAGATCGAGTTCTTCATCACGCAGCTCGCACAATATGTCGGGTCTCCGCACAACGGAGCTCAACACTCGACCTCTCCGTTCCTTCAACAAGAAGAAGAGTCTTCCCGAGCATCCATCGCTCAGCAGCTGCCCCTGCTTGCGACGGGGATGCGCGTATAGACTTTCTACGGTAGGAATCGGGCTCATTCGAAACGACCGTCCTGATCCGATATTGAGGCTGGAATTACGACGCAATAGGTCGCAGCCGGAGACGCGAACGAAACAGGGACCTCAGTGGGATCAGGTCAATATTTTCTTATTGATTGCATTCACTCCTCACATCGAGCGGAATGGGAACCAATACGCTCAATCGGGACCGCTGTTCCTGTGAAAAACTCCCGCTTGCTCTTCCTCCCTGACTACGATGTCGACCGGAGCAATCTGTCAGATAGTCAGCCAGTATGCTGCGTGACCCTCGAATGCAAATTACGGCGGCTCTGCTATTGACCCTTGGCTTGTTTCTATTTCTCGTTGTCGACGTCAGTGCGAAAAGTTTCGTTCATCTCTCCTCGCGGCGGGGAGCTTGGATAGAATCAAATGACATTCTTGCACCTGTGGCCACTTGTGACGAATTTGAAAAATAGCCGCTGTGGCTTCGTTCGTTTTGCTCTGCCACAATTTGCGAGGCATTTTGCCAACTGGCCGATCGTTCGCTTGGTCAGTTGGTCAAGCGGGTGAGCGGTTTCTCGTCCACTCACTGACCGTGCGGTCGCCCGACTCGCTCGCTCGCCCGCACAGTTGGTCTGATTCGTCCAAGATCCCGTTCCTGCCTCTCGCTTCTGTTGAAGTTGCGAGCGACTCCGATTCCCTAACGAGAGGATAAGAGACGGGAATAAACGAGCACGGTAACCGCCGAAGGGAAGGACACCGCGACGAACAAGAGTGAGACACACTCACAGACAGACGGCTACACCCAACTAAACCCGGTTGACTTATGAGGCTCATAAGAGCTGAAGTCCCGATTGCCACCGACCGGTTAGAGATATCCCTCGGCTCGTAGCTACAACGCTGTTCACAAATAGTCGTCGCTTTAGCTACGGTTCTCTACTGTGCAGTATTGTGTTTCTGCGGTCACTGGCATGGAATCTCCTTCTCCGCGATGGTATTCTTTTGTTCCTCGACAGAGACGATCGTTACGTATTGCAGTAGTCTCGCGAATTCCCTCTCAAATGAGGAAAAGAGCCCAGCCCGGCGAGCGCGCGGCAGGTTGGGGAGCAGCGCGCCGCCTCTTCGCTGCGTGACATCTTTTTGTGCTCGACTCCTTTTTCTGAGCCTCCTGAGTGATATGTGTGATTAAATCTCTCAGTTGACTAAGTTCAGCATGTCGGCGTTCCAATCCCCATTCTGTCGCCGGGTCCAGAGCGTCCCGCCGAAGAACCTTTGCGCGCTCATTCTGCGGAAAAGTCGAAAAGAGGAAGCGCGAAATGGCGATGGACGGACATTTTTTGTTCTAATGCATTCCCCCTTTTCGTCATTCTCGCCTGCACCATCTCTATTCCTCTGCCGGAGCCCGCTCGGAGACAAAAAACGAGACAACGAGAATGGCAAGAAGGTCTTTGTCTGCCGTTCGCACTCCTGCGCGCTTTGGCCCGCGGTATCCGCTCCCAACTGTCTAGACAGACCGTGTAGCTGGGCTTCTCGAATTCGAAAGGAGTTCAAAGAGCTCTAATTCCTCTCGCATTGTACGGTACCAAGCACCGTCCTTGATCAGATAAGTAACTTGGCGCCGCCCGGGTTATCTAGTTGAATGAAGGCTCGACCTGGATGGGTTCGTGAAAGGATTTTATTCCTCTGTGTAAGGAAGTGCGATAGAGGCGAGCTTCTCGCGAGAGAGGAAGGAGTAAGCTCATCGCGTCTTCCTCTGACGCTCCCGATGCCCGATGCTGAAGAAACATTCAGGAAGGTCAACGGCCGAAACCGAGGCCGCCGTGTTGCTGACCGTAGCTGCTGCCTGTCTGGCCGAAGCCACCTTGCTGCTGGTTGTACCCGCCAGCGTTCGAGTTGAACCCACTCCCGTACTGATTGTTCGATTGCTTATTGAAGCCCTGTTGCTCGCGGTATCCGTGGGTATTCTTGAAGCCAGCCGCATTGTTGTACTGGTTCTTGTTGGCATACTGATTGCCACCCTACAATGAAAAGAGACAAATTACTGGACTCCCTCGAGCCAAGACATGAAGCGTTCGGCGTCCGTCGGTTGATGTCTGTGATCAACGTACCTGATTGTAACCACCCGCTTGGGCTTGAGAGCCGTATCTGTTGCCGCCGGAGGCATAACCCCCACCGTAGCCGCCGCCGAGGCCTCCTCCGTATCCACCGCCTAAACCCCCTCCGTATCCACCTCCGTGACCTCCTAGATAGCCTCTTTCCTCGACGGCCTCCTTGCTCGTTTCTACTGCGCCAGGCGAATCCGTGTTCGCTATCTCCTCAGCAATTGCTGAGACGAGACAGCAAAGGGCAAGGTAGACGAACTGGAAAATGAGGAGTGAGATCTCGCATCTTACCTCCCGAGTTCCGAAACTTGAAGGGGATTCGGCTCCAGAATTTTTGCTTGTAAACGAACTTACTTTGGCCATAGTAGATTCCGGCAGAACGCACACGAATGATGTGAGCCCGATCTCGGTGACTCCTTATATGTAGATGTACTCCATGACCCTCACCGTTTCCTTCCGACCTTTGAATGTTACTCAGGTTCCTCCAGAGTCGGCCCATTCGGAACGACCTCGATCGGTGTCGGGAAACGTGAACTTTCCGGAATCGATCGAGCAAGTCACACTCGGATCGTCGATAGACAGGTACATACACAAATTATTATTTCTCTCAACTCTTACCTCCATCGAAGAATGTTTCTATCGCGGATTCTCATTGATGAACCCCTTATCTGGGAGCGTCATGTCATGTTCTCATGTCGTGTGATGAAAGCCTTATCCACCGATACTCCATGCATGCGGTCTCTGAAATTTTCGGCCTGGAAGCCGCTGACCGCTCTCGGAGCCATTTTCCCTGCGCAGCCAACTGAGAGTATTCATAAAAAGTTTCCTCCTCCGGACCGTCGTCACCCTTAATTTCGGTGATCCCAGCCGCTCTCGGTGGCCGGCGCTGCACTGTTGGCCGGATCGGTCTGAAAACACGAGTTCGCTGCCGCACTCACTGTCAGCGCTTGGCCTAACCGTTCCTTCTTCTCCTTCCGTCGTCGACTTTTCAAAAGCAAGATGTTTCACGCACCACTGGATACCCCTTATGCATGGAGGAGTCGAAGTGCCCGATGAATGAAAAGTAAAACGAATAAAATGCTGCAATGAACTCTGATCCTCGCTTTCAACTTTCGCATGACCTATATAGCCGTTGGGGGATCGGCCCTCGGGCAGCGAAGATTTCTGTCCTCCACCCGACTCCACTTGTTCCATTCAAATTCTACTCGAAATCGCCATTGTCTATTCAGGAATTCCTGTACCGATGTTCGCGCTCTCCGCCGTAGGTCCTTCAAAGGAGCGAGAACGTGTGTCGACTTTCGTGATTCGATGATGACTTCGAGAACCATCCCTAACTTTTCTCAAAACCACTCGGATCATTTCAAAGTTTTCACCGGAGCGGAGCATTTAACATCACGGCTTCGGAATTCAGGGTCCCAGTAGCGGGGAATTCCCCTCACGGACAGACTCTCGAGCGTAGTCTTGTGTCAATGGATCTCAGTCAGACCTATCTGAGGGTTTCCCGCGGGGAGCATCAACGCCGCTTGGTGTTTGCTCATGATGTACGTAGGCGATCTACAGGCGCTCTATCCGTCCCATTCTCGAATGTTCCTTAAAGATGCATCAAAGCTTTCAGTCCATCGCGAGAGTATTCGATGCGCAGCCTTCAATAGCCCGAGGAAGCGGACGAATGATCCATCGAAAGGGCGTTGCCATTCAGTGAGCTCGTTCGTTCGTTCGTCTGTCCATGCGTTCGTTCGTCCGTCCGTCCGTTCGACTGTCTACCCGCTCTCCCGGTCAGCCCGCCTGCAAACTCCTCAATGCTCCGCCGAGCGAGGCGAAGAATCAAAGCAATGGAGCCACGCCAAGAGATTTCCAAGCTCAGCACTTCACAGGCTTCACAAAGTTTATGGTCCAAGCCCAACCGCGTCGAACCAACGAGCCTGAGAGCGTGCAAAGACGAGAGCGGGCGGTCGCTGGTCGGGGCAAGAACGGTCTCCACATTTCGGCGACAACATCTTGATCAAACGACCAGTGATGTCAGCCGTCCAGGGAATATGGAAGGCGAATTGAGAACGGCAGGAATTTGACTCGACATCTGTTTGCGGTTGTTTCAATCTAAAAGAGAACTTTCGGCTTCGCCTCGAATAAACATTGAGGGACCGCTTGGCCAGCCGAATGACCAACGGGACAAGCGTGTGAGCGAGATTCTCTACTGATGACCAGCAGCTGTTTCCCGCATCTCCATCCCCCTAATACCCTGAGAGTTCTTTTTCAAAAACTCCTTCACAACGTCTCAGCATAGGCCGTCTGATTGGTAAAGTTGTCCCTGAGGCCGGCTATTTGATAATTTGCGAACACGCGTCTCCTTCTCGCAAATTCTACTCAGCGAATCCCGATCGGTGGAAAGCCGCTCCCGTTTTCGGAATTTCACCACGTTGGAAGACGGTGCGCGAGCTTGAGCAGGGGAGTTCCTCCCCCGTTGCTGGCGTCGCTCGCGCCTCTCCGCCTCGATCGGTGAGTAGCCCGGGAAAATAGTCTAGAGAGATGTTCTCGCGCAACGTTTTCAGTACCCGATGCGATGAATCGACGAGATCGGCACGAGGTCCAACTGTGCGACCGGGGCAAAACTGCGATCGCAAAGCTCCATGTGAATTTCGTCGACGTACTCTGGCCATGAGCTCGAATGTCAGCTAAACATCGCGCTCTCACGGGAAGATCCCCCAGCTTTCGCAGATCAAATACGAAGAACATCGAACGATCTGCATGAATGGGTAGGCACAGCGGACTTGCTGCAAACCAATCAAACCTCAAAAGGGCCGTATAGTTGGTCGGACGGTAGGCGGGCGGGCAGGCAGGCAGCCGTCCGGCCCGGGTAGAATTTTGTTTGAGGATCAGATATCATTTATTTGTGTTGTAGATGTATGGGGGGAAATGTGTCTACAGCACCTACGGGAGTGCTAGCGGGAGTGACGATAGTCGTCAAGGGAGCGATTCAAGTTGAAAGCAAGTAGCGCTTCTGATTTTTCTTCCCTTCTTTCAAGCGAGCTTTAATGGCGCGATAAGAAATAATCTCAACAACTGTGAACAAGCGGGCCGAGCAACGGGCTCTCGATCGCCTGCCCGGCGAATGACTACAGCTCGATAGTGAATGATTATTATTGTATACATCGGCGATAACGGGACGTTCTGCCCATTTTCGGGCCTTGTGACACTTCGAGAGGAACCAACGACGTCGAAAATTCATTGTGAGGTGTGCACAACGCAAAATCACGGAAGTGCAATGATGCGACTTCGATTCGGGAGCGGGCGATCCTGAGTCCCTTTCTACGGGCTCCTCGATCGGGATCCCAAGCGATGAATTACGGCATTTTGACGCCGACGAAGCTGGCGGCCGAGGCTGAGGAGTCTAGCACACTGAGTTCGAGAGAGATCCCACAATGACAGACGGCAGTTGTCCTAAAAGTTATCACAGGACTTTGGAGGGTGCGTGCAATGAGATAGCGGATTCGCAGGCCCCCACCAAAGTAGGTAGCGAGCGAACACACGAACTGCAAAAAAAGTGGGCAATGGGGATTGCTTCGCACTCGTACAGAGAGGGAAGCTACAAGCTGAAGAAGGCATCAGTGAAGTCGCGGAAGGGTCAGGACGCCGAGAATACCGGAAATTTCCCCCCTTGTAGGATTGAATTGCAATTGTTTTACAGCTCGAGAAATGTCGTCTGATTAGACACAAGCAATGGGCACGACTGGGCGACTTTCGCTTAGCAGGGGTGCAGGATGAGTTGGGATTCTCTTTCGAAAGGAATCGGCGCTCAAAGAGCACGAGAATCCGTCGGAACTCGCTCCACCGAGCGCCTAGAATGCCTCGTTGCTGACCCTCTGACTCCCGGCAATCGCTATGAGTATGTGGTCAATGGCTTCAAAAAAATTTTCATCCGTCGAAAGAAAAGCCTGCGATGTTCGACGCGTTCCTGAACTCGGTGCGCCGATGGAGTGACCTCGCGTTGGGCTATCGCATGCGAATATCCGATTCTACCCCGGATTGGAGTTGTTTGAATGGAGCGCAGAACTTCGATTGCGTCTTGAGACCGATTCGCCGTGAGTTCTCACACAGAGGGACCAGGCAAGTATGAATCAGAGGGCAAAATAAAAAGCGGAAGCCATTTTTAGCAGACCTTGTGAGCGTGCATGGGTGCGCGTCGATAGCTGACCGCCACGATCGTTCCTCTATAGCGAGATATGAGCCAACCGGCAATCTACCGACCGACGAATGAATAGATAAGGAAGTTTTGCCTAACCTAATTAGCGGTACCGCTGATCCAAACCATGATCCGCGGCAGAGGCGTGAGTTAACTCTCCGATAGTGTCCCAATATGCGCTTGCTCGGGCCCATCACTTTTCAGTACACGCATCAAGTTTTCGATGGACGTCAATGAGCTGCCACGACCAAGCTTATTAGTCCCTGTAGCTAGATCGGGCGATCAGAGGGCCAAAGCTGGAGACCGCGCCGTCCATCAGCATTCACGGGAGGCGTTTGTCCTTCGAGCTCGGAGGGGGACCGGCTTCATGGAGTTCTATGGATCCGGAAGTCGAATCCCCGGTCGCTGTTGCCTCGGTCAAGCTCTCGGAGCACTCGATTGGACGCAGTATCAGTGCGTCATTAGAGCTTGAGCTGCACTTTCGGCGGATTCTTAAATTGACACCTCTATCCGTGGCAATTGCATCAGACCTACTACATCAACAGCAGAACGGAGGACAATCACGGACAGTGAATCCTGCAGCTGATGCCAAAGCTATATTTGCTTGCGCTCTCGTCCGCTCTCCAGCAGCTCTTTCGGCTGAGCTCAGTGAGCAGGATACTCGGAAGACCCGATGCGATTGGATCCAATACGGGCGGGCAGTTGCGAAGCAATCTAAGCGCAGCATCTTCCCCAGTTTGCCACTTTTCTTTCGACTTCCGCCCGGCCTAATGCTATCAGAGCAAATTCAAAGAGCTTCTCACTCCGATCTCTCGCGAGCCGTTTCGGAAGGATCCTGTGTGCCTGCCTGCTGGCTTTCCTTGTGCTTTATCACTCACTCTCAATACATGAGCCCAGATGGAAGGATGTGGTTGGTCAGAGTGGTTGGTCGATGGCTTCCGGGAACCCTTACAGTACGCGTTCAACTGCTAAAGGGCAACATCGAAACTTTGAGCCCGAAAGGCAACAACGCCAGGGCGAACCGCTGCCCGACGGCTCCAGATGCGTACAAGTGCTCAGTGCCGAAAGGATCAGATGCCATTAAACGAAACCCATTGAAAGAGACCATCTCTACAATCGTTCAGAGAATCCGAGGCGAGATCTCGGTCAGGCTCCTCACAGTCTTCCTACCTGAACACCGAACGCGATTCTCGCCAAACTCGTCAGAGGAGGCAGAGA